CTCCAATGGCAGTGCCTACCTCCAGGAGCCCCATCTTCTCCCTTCTGAATTAAACCCTGTCATGCTTAAGCAAGGTATCTGTCCAGATGTTTGCTTGACAGGATGTCAAGTAAGGTTGACAGGAGGTCTTCTATATGTGGAACTGGAATAACAACCCAAAGCTGAGGACAAAAGGCCTTAAGACCCCATCCGTAGAGAGGCATGAAGGAGTGTCACATAGTACACTTAGGAGGGAAGGGGAGAAGTCAGGCCTTGTGAGGAGTGCTGGTTCAAACCGTGAAGTTATTGCCATGATGGAGAGTGGGAAGCATTCCTCACAGAAATTGGTCATACCTGCCAGAAGGGGGAACTTGTCCCCATATCGAGGCAGAAAGTTTGCTGAACCAGGAACTCACAGGCCACCCTGGGGTATAACAGAGACTGTATAGAAGTTTCTAGTAAAGAGATATGAGAGGAGGAATTCACTGAGTGGCTCCATTTCATCCAGCAGTGATCAAAGGGAGCAAGGTAAGGAATTCCAAGAATTTAGATGACTCTCCTCCCAGTTCTTCCTAGCCATAGGCAGGCATGGAACACCACAGCAAATCCCATGCCTCTATACAAAGAGGCACATAAGTAAGAGGGGAAGGATCAGTGCGGCTCTTCCATGGCCCCAGACCAGCTAAGGGTGACTCTACATGAATGAGGGGTTGGGCCTTGGGTGTCTGGCAGAATCAAATGAAAACTCAGCTGCCCAACTCTGAGCAGGGACTTGGCAACAGAGTGGGCAAAGGGGAAACTGAACACTGTGCCAGGAAAATCAGCTCTGGGCCATCTGAAGCTCAACAGACCCACTAGTCTCAGATGGCAGCATAAGTAGATCCCATGCTCATGTGCACACACAAAACTTCTCTGGAAAGCCAGTGTTCTTCTTGGGACACCAATTTCCCCTTGGGGATAACAGAGTTAATACACGATGCCTCCAGGCAGTTTTGAAAACCTAGGCAGAGATGGATCTTCTTTTACCCACCATACACAGGCAGATTCCGTTGCCTGTGGCCTGAAGGGATTTAGGGAAAGATTGCCACCTAGTGGTTAATATTGACAGTCCCCTGGACAGAGCAGTACACAACTCATACAGATGACTCAAATTTTAGACTTTTGTCCTGCTATATCCAGATGGTCTTACAGATAACATCATCTGATTTTTAGAAACAAATTCAGACCTAATATCCTTTATCAAAAAAGAAGAATATCATAAGTTCTTTACTCTGTACCCAGTCCAGATGACCCTTTGAAGCCTGAGGGCAGGTTACCCGCCACTTGCCACTTACCAGAAACTCCCCATCACTCCTATCACTTTTTCACATAGGCACCTGCATCCAACAAGTCACACAGTGTTCATACTCTGTGCTAGGTTCTAGGTTTGGCTTGGTGACATAAAACGGACACATTTCACACAGCTGGTCAGTGTTGTTGGTCAGTACTGTGTTAAAGGGAACATGGGAGATCAGAGCAGAGCCTATCTCAATCTGGGGATAGGGCAGGCTCTTCAGTGAATGTGACCTTAAAGTTGTCTACATGAGAGAAAAACAGAGGGTTTTGTTGTTTCGTGTGTGTGTGTGTGTGTGTGTGTGTGTGTCTGTTGTTTCAAAGAAGAGAAATAGCTTTTCAGGCAAAGGGAGGCACACAGAGATATAAACAATATGGCCTGTTAAGGAATATCTGACTACACATATGGAGGACTGTTGTGGAGATGGGGTAGCTAGATTGGATCCTAAACACTAAGCTAAAGGCTTTATCCTATTGTTAAAGAAGGCATTAAGTATGGAGAATGGACTGGAAGGAACAGGAAGCTGGAGAGGCCATGAGGTAACTGATATGGCAGTCCAAACATGATGTGACAGGGCCATAATCTTCACATCTTCAGGTCCCCCCTTGGCCAGAAGCCAGATTTTCTCAGTGGGTCACTGTGGTTCCCTCAGATACAGAAGAGATCCCTCTTAGCCCCACACTCAGTTACAGACTCTGCTTCCAAGACCCTTAGCCTCACTCGGCTATGAGAGTGGGAAAGGCAGGGAGGGAGAACAAGCTCCTCTGGACTCTCACCCATGCGCATCACATAGATGGATTACAAGCTCTCACGGCAACAATGAGGTTAGTGCTGCTGTGCCCACCTTACAGAGGAGAAAAGGCAGGCTCAGAGTTCACTACATTGCCCAAGTTCTTACTCAGCTGGTTGTTTTTTGTTTTTTGAGAGAGAGAGAGAGAAGAGAGAATTTTATTTTAAAGTTCTCAGCAGACACAACATCTTTGTTGTATGTGGTGCTGAGGATCGAACCCGGGCCGCACGCAAGCTGGGCGAGCGCGCTACGGCTTGAGCCACATCCCCAGCCCCTCAGCTGATTTTAAAAAGCAGGGCTGGGAGGATGAGAAGAAAAGCAAGGAAGGGAGAGATAAAAAAGGAAAATCTAAACCTAGAATTAGAACTAAGACCCTTTACCTCTACCCCAGGCTGCTTCTTCATTCCCAGCATAATTTTTTCTATCTAGTAACGTTCAACTCAATAACTTCAATAAATAACATTTTACTAAATGCCATTTGTTTTCCTTCTTCCCTCCCACTTTTGTCATAGAAAATATATTTTATTAATGTCTGCCCTGTAACCAGAAATCCCATAGTTTCTTTTAAAGAGATCCAGAGTCCTCATTCAAGAGGATCTATATTTAAATGCAGGGCAGGTGTATTGTGGCCCTGAGTGAGGGTAACTCAGCCTGACTCACAGATCCAGGTCAACTTCTCTTAGATATCACAAGGAGGGGAGCCAGGCTTTGGACCCAGAATCCTCCAAAGAAGCCAGACATCATGGATTTCCCAGCCCAGAGTTCTCTGGCAGCAGTGATTAGTCCTAACTTAGCTACTCAAGACCAGGGTTTCTATGGCCCACTCGGTGCTACACAGAAAACGATGAACCTCTAAACAGTAGCAGCCTTAGTACTCTTGGCTGGATTTCAGGCTCTTCTTGCCCCTTGGCCAGGCACTTTTGAATGCCATCAAAAGCAGCAGCCTTGCCCTAACACTGGCACTGACCTGAGCTCCTGAATCTAGAATCTACCTGTTCCTAGCTGGCAGGATCAGCCCTAGCCCCACAGTAGGGGTGCATTAGCTTTTGACTCTGGATCCTTATCAGGCCCACGGAGCCCAGGAGGTCTATGAGGATTTGTCCCAACTCCTGATTCTGGACCTGTGTCCTCCCACTGGAACTCCTGGAGCACTGGGACACCCACTGGCCTAGAAAGCAAATAAGGATTCCCTACCCTCAAGTCCCTTTCTTTCTCACATAAAGCTCTGGCCTCCAGGGTCATCTTCCCCTTTAGGTCTTCTCTCACTGATAATTATTGCCATTACCAACTGGCCTTTGGAAACCCCACTGTTCATTTTCAGGGCTCCAGATGAGCTCAGCAACCATTCCTTAATGTCAGCTACATAGTAGATGTAGGACTGTAGTGTTCAAATCAGGCTTTCAGGCAGGGTTTCTTTCTGAGTAACAGCAAAGAGAATGGTAAGTGCAAGGGTTACTGAAATGCAAAGTAGATCTTCCTCAGTTCCAGCCTGGGGTCCTCTTAGTGGCACCTACCTGAATCCAGGGTTCACTTTAACTTGAGATGCTGGGGATCATCCTCTGGATCACTTTGATTCCAGGAAGTCTCAAATCAAAACAAGTGAGTCAAAAAGGGCAGGAGTGTCCCATCCTGTCTAAGACCTACCTTTGAGTTCTGAATTTTGTAGGATCTCTACTTCTCCAAGTGATGAAAATGGAACAGCCATTCAACAAATATCTATTGAGTCCTACTACATTAGCAGAATAAGATGATGAACAAATGGACTTAGTCTCCTCTCCTTAAAGCTCATACCAGCCAACAGGCCAAATTCTATATCCTAAAACCATCCTTCAATTTTAATACAGAAGTCTGAGCTTTTAAACCAGGCACACAGAGTAGCAGGAAGGGCACCATTCCCTTTTGTCAATTTCCCAATGCCTTGACCCCAGAGAAACTTGAGTCTAGAGTCCCCGAGTGGAGAGAGCAAGTATCAAAAGGCAGTCAGGAGGACCTCTGCCTTGTGGCCACACACAATGTAACCACTGAGAGGGAATATAACAGTCCAGACCTTACATAGTGTCAGGTTATTGTCTGATAGGAATCTTGTAACCCATCCTCGATTCCTGAGTCTCAGACTTGACTCACAAATCCATGGAGTTCAGCAATCTTTAGCTTGGCAATTCTCTAGACGACTCACATGCCCTGACCCTTATTCTCCCTTTTTGCAGGCATATAAAACCCCTTTTCACAGAACTGAGTCCTCAGCAGCTCAACTAACTCAAGGTCTCTTTGTCTACCACCTACACAGTCCTTGGCTGAGTCCTGGGGCCATGTAAACCTGTCTTACACATGGAAAAGCACCTTGTGCCCAACAGGCCCAAGTCTGTGTCCAAACTATAGTATCACTTTTATAATCTCCATGAGATTAGGTAGGAATATTAGTAGGAAACCCAGGCAATTGCCAAGTCATAGGAAAGCTGACTTTCTAACCCAGCAAGAATACAGCTGACTGGCAGGCTAGGGACTTAAGTTAGACACCTATTTGGGAAATGGAGCTTGGTTTCACATGAACATTCAAGTAACAGACACTGTTCCTCCTACCTCATGGGGAGAATGAGTAGAAGTTAGGTGAGGGAATAGATGGAGAGGTAAGCATTGCAACTGAATTCTATTCAAAGAGTGGTCCGTTGGCACGCAGCATCAGCATTCCTTGATAGCTCATTATAAGTGCAAATCCTCAGGCCCTACCCCAGATCTACTGAATTAGATTCTTGGGGAAGGAAACTTGAGGATGGGGGGCTGAGAATCTTTTTTTTTTTTAATCTACCCAGGTGATTCATAAGCAAGAATAAGTTTGAAAAGTACTGCTAATTACACTTAGTTCAGGCTGCTATAACAAAAATGCCTTAGGCTAGATAATTCATAAACAACAGAAGTTTATTTCTCACAGTTCTAGAGGCTAGAAAGTTCAAGATCAAGGCCAGCAGATTTTGTGACTGAAGATTTAGCAAAGACTTGCTTTCTGCCTCACAGCTTGCACCCTGTAACTGCATCCTCACATGGACAAAGGGGCTAATAAGCTTCTTTAGGCTTTTTATGAGGGCCCCAGTCCCTTTCTTGAGGACAAGCCCTCATGACTTAATTACTCCCCAAAGGCCCGTTTTCTTAATATCATCACCTTGTTAAATTTCAACATATGAATTAAGGGAGACACAAGCATTTAGCTCTAGCACCCACTGTGCACATGTGATGGGCTAATATAATTACTACAGGAAAAAACAAAAGTCCCAGAAGCTTCCATTCTCTGGACACCTACTATGTACCAGATACTTTTAAACTTTTATCTAAGTTTTAATATTGTATCACTTGATCCTTACAACACTATGAGGGACTTTTATTACCCTGGTTTTTATAGATGAAGAAACTATAAAGATACTTGCCCATTTAACCTTTTCAATGCTCAGTTTCCTCATTTGTAGCTTGGGGACAATGATGCCTTGCTTTTTTTTTTTTTTTTTTTTGTTATTACAAAGATGAGAGAATATGGAGGACTATTCACCTTGCTTGGGAGCTCAGACCTAGCTACCGGGTACAGCTCAAGAGACTGGCCCACAGTGGGGAAAGACTGAGGCAGCACTGCTAGCTAAAGCCAAACACAAAAATCTATTTCCAAATTGTGGCTCAGAGAGCTGCCCAGTGCCTGCAGGCCCCTGGGCTTCCCATTGGCACTAAGTCGGCTTCACCTGTTATCAAGTTCTATGTTTACCCCTTCAGGGAATCCATGCTCTCATTTCTGGTTCCATTCCTAGTTGATGACAACAAAATCTATGTTTAGAATGACTCTGGATTTTGAAAAGGCAGCTGCTCTAAAGGTTGGGGACACTGGGATATGATTCCAGTAGATCTGGGCTTCCAAGGAGAAAAAGAAATGCATTTCTCTTGGATAAAACAAAAAAGGATGACCTTGGTTTGAGCACACAGTGAGACCCACTGCTCCAGGGACCATCACCTTCAGCTTCTTACCAGCTGCTAAATGCCCACCATGCTCCAAGGACTTAGGCAACACCACTCTCCTCATATCAACTTGTGAAGTAAGCATCATCCCACTTCTGCCTCTTCTTTGCTGAATGACCTAGACAGAGGTTTGGAATCAGTTCTGTCTTCATTACTTACTGGGTGTGTAACACTGAAATATATTTCTCTCTCTAAAGAGTTAACAAGAGAATATATAACTCAAAGCATGCAGTAGGCACTTTACAAATGTTATTCTCCTTGCACCTTTCTTTCCTATAATACGCTGGCCTTCTAGTAGGCACACAGGACAGATGAGGCAGACCAAGTCCCTTTCTGACTACTTGTGGCCTCTTCCATACCTAGATTAGGTAATTCCTTATAGTAAGGAAGCAAAAGATACAGGGAAAAGTCAGAAGGTTGGTCAAAACCATCAGGCCTGCAGTTTCCTCAAGGGATGGCTGTCAGCCTTTCAGTGCCCTCCTCAGTGGGCCCTGCCACCCTCTCTCCTCTGTAATTCATTCTTAGCACTCAAACATCACATGCTGCCAGTGCTGAGGGTCATGAAGACCAAAGGTCAGATAAAGGCAATTTATCTTCCCATTTATATAACATAAATTTCAGAATTTACTGGCCTAGCAAGCGCACACAATCCCTGGTGAGGCAGGAGGACATGGATGTGCTCATGCTAAAGTTGAATAAACTGCTTTCCAGAAAGAGCCAGTAACTCAGACAAAGCCATACAGCAGGTTAGTGGCTAACTCTAGAACAAGGATCCTAAGCTTCCTGTTCCTCCAAGTAAGGTCCTCTGCAGTCTATCCCAATGTCTCTCTTGGTAACGTACCTTTTATATAATACTGTCAAACTTTAGTAGACTGTATTGACAGCTAATTACTTACGGCTTATATTTCATCTGCAGGTAGTGACTAACAGGTCATGGTACCAAGTAATCAAATTTTCAGTGAGAATGGATATTTAAATTCTTTGGGTTGCAAGTTATATATATCCAACTCACAGTAGCTTAAAAAATAAAATAAAGGTCAGGGGGTCTTTGGTTCTCACAACAGTGAAGAGCCCAAGTGGATGGCATCAGGATGCTTCCTGACTCTATTCTGTTTCTAATGCATGCAGGCATTTTTCCACTGGTCAAGGATATTTGTCTGTGGTTCTAGCCAACAACTTACCAGTTCAATGTGCCTATTGGACAGCTTGTCTAAAATGGCAGGTATTCTTTTTCTTTGGTACTGCTATTACTAAATCCCTAGGAAGGTGAGAGTAGAGAGACCCTAATAAAGTTACTAAAAGCCTGGGGAGGTTTAAAAATTCGAACTCTCAAAATGTAAATCCATGGCATCAACTCTTGTACTCCATTTTGGTATAAGGGTATATTTTATGGTAACTGGATTAGTTATATTTTACCTATATTTATAGTGCTTGAACTTTTCAAAAAGGATCAGCTCTAAGCCAGGTGCAATGGTGCACACCTGTAATCCCAGCAACTCAGAAAGCTGAGACAGGAAGGTTGCAAGTTCAAAGCCAGCCTCAGCAATGGTGAGGCACTAAACAACTCAGTGAGACTCTGACTCTAAAATACAAAATAGGACTAGGGATGTGGCTCAGTGGTTGAGTGCCCCTGAATTCAATCCTCAGTATCAAAAAAAAAGGATCAGGTCTACTTAATTTATAATTGGTATTTATATTTAAGGCAGTTTTAATCAAATTTATTACTGTATAAATATTTTAAAGGTTTTAATATTTTGATATGAGTTCAATAATGTTCACTACTAAAGTTTACATAGCAGACTTGAGTATTCCTCTCAAGCCCCAAAGCCCTTCAGACATTAAGCCATCTAATAAAACATGTAAAAATAAAACAGAGCACCAGATTTTTAAATGATTATATAAGTAATTACTGTAAACTACTTTAAGAGGTAAATTATAAGGGAAAAATAAAACAAGGGGGACAAATGAATGTCAGTAGAGGGGGCAGAGAGAGAAGAGGGGAGGGGAGGGGAGGGGAGGGGGGATAGTAGAGGATAGGAAAGGCAGCAGAACACAACAGACACTAGTATGGCAATATGTAAATCAATGGATGTGTAACTGATGTGATTCTGCAATCTGTATATGGGGTAAAAATGGGAGCTCATAACCCACTTGAATCAAAGTGTGAAATATGATTTATCAAGAACTATGTAATGTTTTGAACAGCCAACAATAAAAAATTAAAAAAAAAAGAGGTAAATTAGTAGTTCTCCAAACTTTATTTGTTTGATCATATAGGACTCTCAGTATTATGGCAAAAGATTTGCCCATTTGAAGCCTTTTCAAAAGTGAATTTAACCGACTGATCTGACAGAACACAAGAAGTTGTGCTAAAAAATATGGCCAAATCCAGTAGTGCCTTATAAGCATCCCAATGGAACTAACAGAAATTCGGTTAAAATCAGAAGTTAAAACTAAAGCCCATTCATTACGTTTAGGTAAACATTTGTGGGCTTTTCAACTACAGCTTGATAATAACTTTAAAGTGTTTTGAAATACATAAGACATGCAGTGATGAGCACTGGATCTGGGGTCATTGTGACCCTGTACACCCTGAATCCTCTATTTAAATAGCCTGCTATTGAGTTAGTCTTGATAGCCCCTGCCCTGCTTCCCTTCACAGTCAACTATGTTCAAATGGCAATGTGTAAAGGCACAATGGATTGTTATTATTAAGGTTTTCTAAAAGTAAAAGTTCTTGTGAAAAGAACTGCCTCAAATTCATTTTTGAAGTTGGGAATAGATAGTAGGATGATCATCATCTCAGTTTCCTTAACCAAAAAACAGTGGTCAACAAAATTAAGCTTTTTACTCTTTAAGAGTGGTGGTAGTTTTATGATACAAGGAGTATTTTTGGTACTTGGCATCATAAAGCCAAGACCACTCAGAACATGCTGAGTCTCAGCATCTTCCTTGGAGTCATAGAAAAGTGGCAATTACAGAAAATCTAATCGGGGACAGAGGGGAAATACCTGTGAAATGAGAACCCTGAATCATAGCTTGGGTTTAGGCTTGGGCTATAATTTGGAGAACATCTGGCAGGACCAAGCCAAAGAAAAGCCCATTCCCAGGAAATACTATGACTAACATGGAAGCAGGCCAGGGCAGAGAACATTCATTTAGGGTGAGCATTCAGCAGGTTTTGAATATTGTGCAACTATAGAGAGACATAATATCCTCCTTGTAGCAGAACTCCCTCTGGGCCTCCTTAGTTAGTTCCAGAAGGCCGACTCATTCATTCACTTAGCCTGTCTTTTCTACTGTCCACTCTTTTCCAGACCCTATACTGGGTTCAGAGGACAAAGAAAGCAATCAAACAGTCCTTACTTTCAAGGAATTCCAAATGTAGTAGAAAAAGTATGTATTTATAGATAAGTCATTTCATATATATTTTTTCAAGGTAAAAAGGACAGAGAGTAGTCAGACAGACTTGGATCTCAGAAGTCTCCAGCCTAGCAGAGGCCTAGAGAAGTATATACAGAGCAGCCTGTGGAAGAATCAAAACGAAACTCAAGAGTACAGCCTCTGACAGCACAGAGATGAATGACATGACATCTCTTCCAATAATGCAGTAGGGACACTTATAGCCTACTGGGGAAGACAGCAGCCAGATCCAGATGGAGATATCAATCCTACAGCCTTGGGTTGACCCCTATGGGTCCTTTGGATTACCCAACAGGCAAAATGAAAAGTTTCTTATCTCTGGCTATAGTCACAAACATCTTTGGCCACCTGAGGGGAAACTGGTCACCAGGAAAAACAGGTACAAACAAAGCACAAAACAACAAGGACCTGAGATAAATACTAAAGAGCTGAGGAGTTAAGGAACATGAGTAGGATCAACAGTTTGAATGGGTGGGCAGTTGATTTGGGTGCACACCTAGTGGTAGGTCATGTATGCTGGATGCATCCATTCTCCAAGGAACAGGACGGTGGGCTTTGGAGGGCAAAGGATAATTTGGTCCCAAGAGGTACACTTCTGCTTTCCTCTTTTCTTCACAGCTGTCACCACTTTCCCTATCTTTTCCACTCTACCATCCAAAGTGTAGCTGAAATGAGCTTACTTAGGGTAGGTCCCAGGGCCCTAAAGGCCTTGGGTGATTGGCACCAGCACTGGAGTGCCTATAGCTGTATTTATTGTTCACTTAGCATGGCCAAGTTAAGTTAGCTTGGTATAGGGCTAGGTTGACCCTCCTCTCAGGCTAAGCTGCAGGCCTGTGCAGGGTTCTCTCCCTTCCCATGGGTTTCAGGAAACATCCCCAGCCTTTTGTCATTTCTTCTTCACAGCAGCTACCACCTACACCATCTCTCCAGCCCAGGCTTCACAACTGGGCCACATTCTCTCCCTTCCTAAAGGTGACAGACTAATATCTGCTGATCTTTTTCTTCACAGCTGCCATCACCCACTCTAGGCCTCATTCTGGATTTCCTCATTCCTTAAGTAAGCACATAAGCCCTTTTCCAGTTAAAAGTTTCACTGCTAGCCATTAAGGAGAACAAATGAGGTAAGGGAGGAGTACAGGGTGAGGGGCAATTAAGAGATGGATATCTTATGAATACTGATGTTACACAGCTTTGGCCCATGCTGGCACATGACCAAGATCCCTTCCTTGACTCCTTTAGACAATCCTAAAGAAGTCTGGATGTTCTTATCCCTGGTTTAGAATTAGCCATCCTTCCAGTCCCTATCTAGTTGGGGGTGTAGTGCTCAGGAAAGCTTTGCTGAGCAAGTCATTTCTACCTCTTAGGAGGAGGTAGAAATGCTTTTTTAACTCTCCTCTTCCTCAATTCCTCCCTATACCACCAACCCTGCCCACCCCTAGGCCCCTGCCACCCTTCACTTGGCCAGCTTGACAAAGGTCTTCCCTGATAGTGGGCTTCATATAAGGAAGAAAGGGGAAGTATTAATGTATTATTTTTAATCCCCAACTGGAAGGTCCTGCATGTCAGGCTGTTTAAACTTTAGTAAGCAATGGGAGCCACAAATGATTTTGAACCAAGAAATGACAACAGAAGTACCTTGCATTATGCAGAGCCACTCAAGAAATATTTAAATAAATGTACACACAAATGGATGAAGATCATAACTGTACTAAGAAGATTACTTTGGCAAATGTATGCAAGGCTAAGTGGATTTTTAAAATCCATTCAAAGTTACAGTCTTAAGCAATATGCTCAAGTATGACATTCTTTACCTGCCTTGTATAACTACAACTCTAGCCTCCTAGCTGCATCCCATAACTAGGCTTACTCTTCACGATCATTACCTAGCACCAAAAAATATTTAGCTTGAGTTTAAGGCATTATCCTCCTTAAATAGGGAGAAAGATAGAGACAAAAAATAAATCTCATGGTAAATTTTCTGTCATAAAATAACAGCCTATTAGGGAAACAATCTAAGATAGAAGCAATCATTGTAATATCATGTGAGATACCCATGACTGACTAAGTAAGTTCAGCCCCAAAAGTCTTAGATGGAGAGTCATCCCCACTTCAAAAGTAGCAATTCCAATAGGTCCAAACAACTAGGCCTGATTTAGAGGTTTACAGCCCATGACCTTCTAATGGGTGAGGACCTTCCCCAATGATAAAGGAGAGGCTGTGCCACAAAAACATTCTGAATAAAACCAACTTGGGGAAAACCCAGCCGCCTGGACAAGCCCTTGGACAGAGGACTCCAGGTATACTGAAGATGCAATTAAAACAATGACATCAGGAGTTACCATCATCCCAATTTAGAGCCCAGTATCTACCAACTATCCACCATCAGCAATTTTTTTCTCAAATCTAATTCCTTTTCTAGCTCCATAAACTGTGAGCTCCTTGAAGGGACCATAGGAAGTTTTGTCCATTTTTTTGTTTTGTTTTTAGAGATATGGTCTCTCTATATTGCCCAAATTGGCCTTGAACTCCTGAGTTCAAGGGGTCCTCCTGTCTCAGCCTCCTGAGTAGCTGGGACATAGATGTATACCAACATGCCTGGTTTGTCCAGTGTTCTAATATCCTAAACCTATGTCCTTTTCCCAACAGGAATCACTCTGATGGGAAAATTAACATCAGGCTCATTTTCATCAAGATAATGATATCAGAAGCAGAAAGCACCATCATCAAGGGCTGCTGGTTTCTCATTTTTCTCCCAGGAAATGTTTTCTGGATAAGGAAGGGAAGGTTGAGCAGAGCTGCAAAGCTGGAGAAAGTAGGCGACCTCATGATTCTGCTGTCTTGCTCAATTCCTCTAAGATGGACAGCCTGCAAAGCTTGGAACATGATTAGAAGGGTAAGGGTGTTTTGTTATTAAATATGAAAAACAAATCCAGGTCTTTCTTCTTGCCTCGACCCCTGTGTGTAACCTTATAAGATGATTAGGGAAGAGTCATTTGAAAAGAAAGTCCTCTGGTGCCCATTCTGAGCAGAATCCTTATGCAGCCAGGACTTGCTAATCATGGAACATATAGGTTCTCTGCTTCTCCCAGTAATGGGAAGACAGGAGATCACAGAATCAATTCTCTCATTTTACAGATGGACACCTGAGGCCCAGAAAGTTCAGGTAACAAGTCCAATATTCTAAAACCGGCCAATTCAGTGATCTTTTGACTGCAGGAGCTATGGAGAATTTTTCATTTTGCTCTTTGGAGAAGAAATGAAAAAAAGGCAGAGAGCACAATATTAAGGGTTTGATTCTCTGTATACCTCAGTAACCTCTGTTATCCTGGCTGTGGCTGCCATTCTCTTCTATGGAAAAGTCAGTGAATTATTTGTCTTGAATTGGCTCAGGTTCCTACCAGGAATTGTGCAGATCCCCTATATGCAGCTCAGGATCTCTTGGTCTGAAAACAGACGGAAGGCTATTTGCTCACACTCACACTGGGTCCCACACTCAAACAAACATCCAAACAAGCCCTCCTCCTCCACAGCGGCCAGATCAGAGTAGCCACAGGGCCCGCAGTGCAAGATCCAAGGGTGAGACCAGTGGTCAATCTCCAAGGGGTTCTGGTTGAGGTAGATGCCCAGGTCAACTCTTCGTTTCTTACTAGTTGGGTGTGAGTATAAGAGCCATGTTTCTGATGCTGTTCCAGCACCTTCCTCCAGCCTCAGTGAATTGTCCAGCAGAGGGCTCTCCTGAATGGTAGGAGCATCTTTGCCACCTGTGTGCAGGCATCTAAGTGTGTTCTCCAGGGGCCGAAAACTCACTACACTGCCTTGGCAGCCATGTGGGGGCTCACAGAGCTGTGGGCTCAGGGTCTGTCTCTGAAAACATTCACCATGATCAGTGCTGAGAGCCTCTGCCCGGTACCTGTTTGGTGTCCGGGCACTGCAATAGAGCATAGGATGAGCAGCCTTCCTGGTCACCTCTGCCACTTGGCACTCCACTGTCACCAAAGGTCTAATGAGCTTACCATGATGCCATGTCACCCCGAAGTCATCACTGTAGATCATCAGGGAATGAGGCCTTGTTTTACATGGTAGTGTGAAACAAAGGCACCGACAAGGGAAATAGTAGGCATATGCAGGGATGACCAGCCTCCCTGATTGCAGCTGGATGCCATGCCCTGGGCCCACAGCAAATGTGGCCCAGTGCTTCAACTCTGAGCCGATGACATCTTCAGTCAAGTCCCTCACCTCACTCCACGAGCATCCAGCATCCTGACTGCAGACAAAGCAGAGGCGAGCAGCATTCTTGCCTGACATAATCTGTTGACGTTCGGTGACATGGTTCCGCACACAGATGAAGAACAGATACACACAGCCACTCTTTTGCTCCCACACAGGACAGGGGTTCATGGTCCGATGCCCAGGTAAACTGGCTTCCACCAGTGGCTTCAGGGGTCCCCACTAGTCAAGAGGAAAGGAGAGACAGGGGGAGTAAAATGCTAATGTAAGATATGAGGCTCATTAAAAGCATTGGTACTTTTCATAAACAGAAAAATAAATAATACTGAAATGTACAAAATTATTCTTTTTTTGTAGTACCAAACATTGAATCCATAGTCTCATGCATGCCAGGAAAATGCTCTACCACTGAGCCACATCCCCAGCCCTAAAATCTACAAAATTCTAAAGGCCCAAGTAGTCCCCAAATTCTCAAGTACTGTAGGATGACCTATAAAGTTGGAAAAAGACATGGCTAGATATCATAAATGTGGTCCCTTCTGTCTGAAATGCTGTTCCTTGCTTTCTCTGGATTTCCAAATCATCCTCCAATATCCAACTCAAAAGTCACCTCCTTTGTGAAGCATTCCCTGTAAGTTACAGAAATTATAAAACATTGCACATGTTTTTGTAACTGTCTCCCTGCCTAGATTATGAGACATGTGAGGGTAGAAACCAAATTGTACTAATTTTGTTAAGTCTAGTGCCTGGCACATGACAGTAACTAAATAAAATTTTACAAAAAAGAAAGGCATAAAAGGAAGGAGAATTGCAAAGAGAAGGAAAGAAGAGGGGAGAGAAAAAGAAAAGGAAGGAAAAAAGAGAAAAGGAAGAAAAGCAAGGCTAGGTGTAGTGGCACTCACCTATAATCCTAGCTACCTGGGAGGTTGAGCAGTAGGATCCCAGGTTTGAGGCCAACCTCAATTAATATAGCAAATTCTATCTCAAAATAAAAACAAATAAATAAAAGGGCTGGGGATATAGCTCAGTGGTAGAGTTCCTGGGTTCAATCCTCAGTACCATAAATAAACAAACAAATAAATAAATAAATAAGGGGGCTGGGGTTATAGCTCAGCAGTAGAGCGCTTGCTTCACACATGTGAGGCACTGGGTTCGATCCTCAGCACCACATAAAAATAAATAAAGTAAATATATTTGAAAAAAATATACTCTAACATAAAACTATAATTAAAAAATAATAAAAGTAAATAAGAAAGGAAGGAAGGAAAAAAGGAAGAAGAAAACAAGCAAAGCAAAGCCAGGCAGGAAAACAGAGAAGTTTTAGATGAATATAGGGAAATTTAAGACAAAATTTTTTTTTCCTTCCTGTGCTACCCTGGGGAGGCAATTCACAACAGCTTTATTAAAAGCTCAAGCACAAAATCAGAGATATCTCATTCTAACCCTGCTTGCATTGCCATTGTGAGACATTGGGTGAGCTGCTCAGTCTTATTTTCCCTCAATCTCTTTACCAACTAAATGAAGAATTTAAAAACATCTACGCAGAGGAGTATTATAAGGATACAATGAGATAATGCCTAATCAGACATATCACAAAGAAAGGCCTAATCTCCTTAATATATTTTTAAAATAATGCTATAAGTTTGTAGGAAATTTTTCAGAACCCTAATAAAAATGGGCTAAGGACAAGCTAATACAACTGAAAGAAAGAGGGAAAAAACTAAAGAATGTTCAATCTCACACACAAAAAAGAAATATAAATTAAAATTAAACTGACACAATATTTTCATATCACAAAATCATATGGCAAAAACCATACAGTTTGATAATATTCTATTGGTAAGAATATGAAGAAATAGGCACCTTCATGTGTGTAATCATTAACTATCCAAGATAAAAAATAAATTCTCAAAAAATTTAATTTCTGCATGAATGGGCAAAGTTCAGCTCAGAATCTCAGTCATACTGGACCATAAGAGTTTTCTAGAGCTACTCCCATCCCACAGAGGGATCTACTCTAAGACTCCTGGATTAAAAACCCTTCCTTGAACTAGGTTAGAGACAGAAAACTCAGGATTTCTTGGGCAGCCCCTTCTGTTATCAGAATACCTTGCACACTCTAACCAACTCAAAGGTAAGGGATAAAGTCAACTTAATCATTGAGCAGCTGGGGAGTCAAAGAAGCTCAGTCATCCTTGTTGGCTAAGAAAAGAAAATGATTTGGGCCAGATATGTCTAATGCACAGTTGATACAAAAGTAGAAGAAACTGTAAACAAAGGACTGAAACTTTAGAATCCAAAATGATCTAAACCAACTGGAGCAATGGAGACATAACAAACAAGCTAAGGCTTGACAGATAAAACAGGTTGTGAGCTCAAGGACTGGGATAAGAAACCTGATTAAAGAATAGATGTAGGGGCTGGGGATGTGGCTCAAGCGGTAGCACGCTCGCCTGGCACGCGTGCGGCCCGGGTTTGATCCTCAGAACCACATACAAACAAAGATGTTGTGTCCGCCGAAAACTAAAAAATAAATATTAAAAAAAAATTCTCTCTCTCTCTCTCTCTCTCTCTCTCCCTCCCTCTTTCTTCTTCTTCTTCTTCTTCTTCTTCTCTCTCTCTTTTAAAAAAAAAGAATAGATGGAATGGCTGAAAAGCATATAAAAAGATACTTACTGGAAAAACTGGAAAAAGGAAAAGAAAGGTGGGGGGTTTCCTATAAAAATTGAAGGAAGAGTAGAAGGGAAGAAAGGGATGGGGAGGGAGGAGGGATGGAAAAAGGGGGAATATTGGGGAATGACATTGGCCAAATTATATTGTTATATTGTGTACCTCATTACGTACAACTATAATGCACCAATAAAAAAGTGGGGGAAAAAAAGATGCTCACATCACTAACCATTAGGGAAACAAATTATATCCACACTATGGGGTTGTGGCATAGTGGTAAAGCATTTGCCTAGAAAGCACGAGGCCCTGACACAAAACAAACAACAACAACAAAAAAAACCAATGAGATCTCATCTCACACCCATAAGAATGGCTACTATAAAAAAATAAGTTTGGGCAAGGGTGTGAAGAAACCAAAACACTTTTACACCATTGGTGGGAATATAAAATATTGTGGCCAATATGAAAAACAGTAGTTACTTCCTCAGAAAATTAAATATAGAATTATTTTATGTTCTAGCAATTCCCTTATGGAAATATATCCCCCCCCCAAAAAAAAACAGAGTCTCAAAGAGCTATCTGCACACCCTTACTCAATGTAATGTTATTTATAACAGCCAATAGGTGGAACAACTCAATGTCCTTCAACAAATGAATGGATAAGCAAAATTATACTACAATGGTATTTTATTCAGCCTTAAATACAAAGAAAATTCTGACATGGATGAACTCTGAGGACATTATTATACTAAATAAAATAAACCATCACAAAAAAATGAGCATTGTATGATTCCACTTATGTGGGGGTATTTGTAATAGCCTAATTTTTAGAAATAGAAAGTACAGTAGTGGTTGTCAGTGGCTGGGGAGAAGGAGAAATGGGGAGTGTTTAATAGATACAGAGTCTCAGTTTTGAAAGATAAAAAAAGTTCTAGAGATTAGCTGTACAGTGTTAATAAAATTAACACTAAAATGGTTAAGATGTAAGTTTTACATTAGATATCTCTTACCACAATTAAAAAATGAAAAAAAGGAAAGAAAAAGACTTAAGAAGTTTCAGCTGACCATCTATTCAATATTAGTCAACTGTGTCATGCAGCTGTCAAAACAGTAGATGCTATTTTACCTTAGGCTGCATTAAAGGATTCAAGGTAAGACAGACATGAGTAGACAGCCTTCCTCATTGCTGAGCTGACCAGTCTATATTGAAGTTTAACTTCAATTCTGAATACTACACTTTTAAAAACAGACACTGACATCTCAGACCAGATCCCAAAGTCAGTAAGAGACCAGAAATCAAACTAGGACCACTGCCTAAAGAGCCACTAAAAGAAAGAAAGCTGCTTATCCCAGAAAACAGAAGACTCAAAGGGCATGAACATAGCTTCCAGGTACTTCAAAGAGTAAGCTCTCTACCAAAGGGACTTTATCTATATTATGTATAGATACTGACCGCTCTAGAAGGCAGAACAAGATCGATGAATAATTATAGAAAGGTAGAGATTACCTCATTTAAAAGAAAATTTAAGTTGCCACAGGATTAGAGTCTTCATTTAAAGAGTTATGCAAGCAGGCCCTTTCTGGGAAATAACTAGTGTTGTTCTTGTTGTATAATTTGTATCATCAGTTACATCCTACAGATGATGAAACAGTATTTAAGGTCAGACAGCCAATAAATGTAGGTCTTTACTAACTCCAAAGAAACAACTTTACCCACTAAGCTATTATAGTTATCAGTGGAATACATATTTCCAGATTGGAAAAGACATTGAGATAATGATTTTTCTAACTTCAAGACTCTTTGGTTAAGTAAAACAGAAGATGAAAGTAAATAAAATAAGAGAGAAGAGTTAAAATGGACAAATTTTGTGAATGTATTTGACTACTGGGCAGTGAGGTTATATAACAGATAAAGTTTGATTACAAAAAATGCTTAACAGTTCTCTGGCTTTGATAAGAAAGCAGACAACATGACCACAGGTCATGGCTGTCCGAAAGAAAATTAAATAGCTAGATATCCACATTCTGCTGGGATGCAGAAGTAGGCCTCTTTGGAGGCCAGTTATTCAAGAAAGGAGCCTTATCCTGGGGAGCCATGAAGATAACTCAAGGTTTCAGGGATTGGAAATGTGAGTCAATGACACCAAAAGCAAGAATATGGTTGTTGGCAAGGCCCATTTTAAACACAATAACATTTGCACTGTAACAAAAGAAGATATCTGCTATAAATCTGAAGGTTTAATGGTAAGATTTCAGATATCTGTAGGTACAAAAGTAGGGTAGGTTAGGGAGATTAAAGTACCTATTATGGGCAGAGACACAGCCATACATTTTTTAAACAAGACTCTCAAAGCCATTGCCTTCTCTGATCCTCACTTCAGCCACTCTGGGAGTAAGGAAGGCAACAAGAAGAAATATGGGGTCTGAAATAACTTCGGGGCTTCCATGCCTAAGAGCAGCAATTATTCTTTCTTCCCTATATTTTTGGTATAAATGTGCTACTTAAGGGCAAGGGTTCCAGCTTCAATTATACCACTTATTACATGTGTGCCCAAAGCAAGTTGCTTTAATTCTCAGGCCCAGTTTCCTCCTATGAAATGAGAAGAATAATACATACCTCACATTAAGCATTTAGCAAAAGTAATAATATGGCTAATATTGTTATTTACTAACTGTGGTCTCAAGTAAGTCCAATAGCAAAATTGGACTAATACTGTTTACTTCCTTGGGTGATTTATACAAATTACTGGAAATAGAAATGAAAAGCTCACCATATGTTAGCTGAATCTGAATGAGCCATGGAGGCCTCTGGAGTTGAGACTCAGTTTGAAGCCTCCTCCTACCACTGTATTATAGCTGCTTGGCCTTTAGCAAAAGGCAACCTCTCTGAGGCTCAGTTTCCTTATAGGTGAACCATGACTGACAACAGTACCTAGGACACAGAATAGCTGTGAAGATCAAATGTGTCCCTGGCACACAAAAAACACTCAGTTGAGAGACACTATTTTTACTGTTTCTCCCTCCTCAGCTCCCCACACAGGGTTTTTCTAGCATTGATGGGAAAAGGCACAAATCCCAAAGTGCACTGAGATCTGTGGAGAGAAAATAAGGCCCAGGCCTAGATCTGGGATGAGTCACCTGTACTGAGTGCCCAGTCCTCAACCCTCGCCTCAGCACCAGGTAGAGTGCATCCACATCCCTGCTTGTTGAACGCCTCTCTGCAAAGGCCAGGAACGTGCAGGTGGGGGGCACATAGAGCAGGGCCGGGATCCGGTAGGTAATCCCTTTCTTGTCTTCCTGCTGGAACAGAGGGTTGTTGAAGGAGGATGATGTCACTTCTTCCATGATCTCTGTAAGGACAGGAAGCAGCTCAATGTGTGTGTCCATACATAGATGCTAGCCTATATGTAAGTTTTCTTTCATTCCATTGCTGGTGGGCACAGGGAAGACACAGATGAACTGAAATGTTTATTTTTTCATACAAAAGTAACACCATGGTCTCAAAACACAAAATAAGCAATATGCTTGCTCTGACGTATCTGTTCTCAAAACTCTGTAGGAATCCTATGTAGCCTATGTCAAGAGTGTCTCTCCCCAGAGACATTCTGCATTTATTCTGCTCAGAATCCAGGGGTCTTAACAGCCTGGGATGGTTTTTAATGTCAATTTCTTGGTGCAGGGTTTCTAGAGTATTGGGTAACAAATATAAACCCAAATCCATTTGAGTGAATGTCTGTGATTAATAATTCTATTGAGAAATTTTCTCCCTGTACTGGAGCCTAAGATAAAAGGCGATCTTCTCTTCCCCCTTTTTTCCCTTCTCATTTTTATTGGCACATTGTAATTATATATAATAGCAGGATGCACTGTGACATATTCATGTATGCACATAATTTGATCAGTTTCATTCCCTCATACCTCCCCTTACCCTAACCTCCTTCTTCCCAATTTCATTCTTCAACCCTATTGGTCTCTCTTCTTTTTTCTTTTTTTAATTTTTCTTTTTTTAATTTGTCCTTTTTAGATATACCTTCTATTTTCACAAAATCCATTTTTTCCTTTTTTTTCTCTCGCTCCCACATATGAGAGACAACATATTAAAACAGAGAGCTCCTGAATTTCTTCATGCTGAGGATAAAAACTTCCTCATACAAAGAACAGATGCCAAGAAAACTATTACTGATAAAATATCTAGCTAAGCATAGACTAGCTAAAATCTACATATGCATTGCCAAGAAAACTATCACTGATAAAATATCTAGCTAAGCATAGACTAGCTAAAAATCTACATATGCATATCACTTAGATTTTATTCTTTAATTTGTTTTATTTAGTTATACATGACAGCAGAATGAGTTTATGCACTTTGATATATCATACATAGATGGGATATAATTTCATTTTTCTGAGTGTATATGTTACAGAATCATATTGGTCACGTAGTTACATATATACATACAGTAATAATGTCTGTTTCATTCTATTATCTTTCCTATCCCCATGTGAATTAGCATCCACATACTGGAGAAAACATTCGGCCTTTGGTTAGAGAGCCTACAGACTGGGAGAAAATCTTTACCACATGCACCTCCGATAAAGCATCAATCTCTAGGATATATAAAGAACTCAAAAAACTTTACACCAAAAATATAAATAACCCAATCAATAAATGGGCTTAGGAACTGAACAGACACTTCACAGAAGAAGAAATACAACTGGTCAAGAAATATATGAAAAAGTGTTAAACATCTCTAGCAATTAGAGAAATGCAAATCAAAACTACTCTAAGATTTCATCTCACTCTTGTCAGAATGGCAATCATCAAGAATACAGGCAACAATAAATGTTGGCAAGGATGTGGTGAAAAAGGTACACTCATACATTGCTGGTGGGACTGCAAATTGGTGTAACCACTATGGAAAGCAGTATGGAGATTCCTCAGAAACTGGGAATGGAACCATCATTTGACCCAGCTATCCCACTTCTTGGTTTATACCCAAAGGACTTAAAATCAGCATACTACAATGACACAGCCACAACAATGTTTATAGCAGTTTAATTCACAATAGCTAGACTATGGAACCAACCTAGGTGTCCCTCAATAGATGAATGAATAAAGAAAATGTGGTATACATACTCAATGGAATATTACTCAGCTTTAAAGAAGAGTGAAATTATGGCATTTGCAAGTAAATGACTGGAGGTAGAGAATATCTTGCTAAGCAAAATAAGCCAATCACTTAGCTTTTGTTTCTATAAATTGTATTCATTTCTGTAGTGGATTTACCTCGTTATCTGTAGAATCCAGAGAGCAACATTCTAGCTGATTTTCCCCATTTTGATCAAACTGCATAAAATTCATTTTTTCTTTGTACATCCATTGCCTATTTCTTATGCAGGCAGGTGGCCAACAGGGATCCAGGCAGTTTCCTTGGTTTGGCTGCCAGTAACAATACAATCCTTGACTTTGAGTCTGGTTTATTTCACTTAACAAGACGCTCTCCAGCTCCATCCATTTTTCTGTGAATGACATAATTTGTTTTTCTTTATGGCTGAATAGAATTTCATTTGGTACATATACCACATTTTCTTTGTCCATCTGTTGACAGATACCTAGGCTGATTCCAATTGTGAATTGTGTTGCTATAAACATAGGTATGCATGTATCTCTATAATATGCTGACTTTAATTCTTTGAATAAACACCAAAGAGAGGTAAAGCTGGGTCACACAGTGGTTCTAGTCCTAGTCTTTTGAGGAATCTCCATATTGATTTTCGACTGTATTTTAGAGGTAAATGGCAATCTTCTTTGTTATCAAAGAAGCCGGGAGATTTTTCCCTAGTTCACCCTATCAGAGGGTGTACACCCAACAGTGTGGGCCAAGTAACCTCCTGCCTCATATAGTTAACATGCTCTGCCTGGAGCTCTTTTTCTGATAGCCACAGAGCTCATTCTCTTATCTCCTTCAGCTCTATTTAAACATCATCCAACCAGTGAGGACTTCCCTGACAACTTCCTTGTCTTCTCTGTCCCTTTTTCCTGCTCTTTTCTCCATTTCTTACCCTCTGATCGCTCATATATTATACTTGTTCAGTACATACTACAGAAGAGAAGATCCAAAAAGAGCAAAGATATATCTATTTTATTCACTGTTATACCTTCATACCTAGAACCAGCCCTGGTACATTATATGTTGAATGAACAAATGAGTGAAGTGGATGTTAGAAGAGAAGGAGAAGGGCAGAGCGAGTGGACCTGAAAAGCCTACAGGCAACAGAAAACAGCAAAGAGACTTTCAGTAGTACAGTAGGATATAAAGATAGAATGCAAATGCTATGAGCAGTGATGGGGCTGAAGAGGTCAGCAGACTCCTGATCCTGGGAGGCTCTGATACCTATTAAGGTGTTTAATCCCACAGATAGGGAGCCACTCTAGAGCTTCTGGCAAAGGAATGGTGTGATTATTTTAAACCAATCTCTCAGGCAGCTTTCTGAGCAATGAACTGTAAGACAAAGTAGTACTGCTTTTAGCGACAGTCCTCTAGTCAATTTGGAAAAATTTCCAATAGTGCATGAATGATTCATTTAGTCACTTGATTTTAACTTAGGAACTATGGGTCACTATCATGGGGAGTAGGGGAGATGGCCTCATTGAGTCAAAAGAAAATCTACCCCCCCTCCAATCTTGGGCTTTCAACAGTATAATCAAAAAACAGGCCAAGGTAGAGTGTCTTCTTTATGTACCTCTCTCCCCCAGTTCAGGCCCTCCTGCCAGGGAGGGTCAAGCTTTCTTCTGAGTGAGCCAGGCTGGTGTAATGGTTAAAAAACTATTTGAACCAAGAGGACTACATACCCTTGGGCATGTTACTTAATTTCTATGCTTCTCTTTGCTTCAGAATCCATGTTACCTGTCAGCAGTCTCACAAATCTCATGTTTACTGAGTCTTCTGATTTATACCATTTTCTTTTATATGTGATTTAATCTCATGTTTTGTCCATCATAGCTCTAGGAACAATAGGCTACTGTGTGTGTGTGTGTGTGTGTGTGTGTGTATCTATCTCCATATCCCATACAGGTCATTCAAATATAGGTACCATATAGCCTACTGCTATTCCATCTAGGTTTGTGTGTATATATATATATATATATATATATATATATATATATATAGTCATGATGTTCACCCAACAAAACTGCCTAATGATGCATTCCTTCGTAGGTATTGCCATCATTCCATGATGCATGACTGCAATAACAACAATTATAATTCCCCTTCTTAAGAGCATTTAAATCCTTCTTCATTTCTGGGAGAGATACTTCAAAATCTTAGAAGTTAATTCTTTAATAATGAGTTATATCTAAGTATTAATCATTTAGCCAACATGACTATTAACATCTAAAAAGGAATTCTCAAGGTGATAAAAATGAAGCACTGGATGAGCATGGAGTGTGATAGAAGAACTAGGAAAAGGAAAGGGAGAGGAAGTGGAGAGATGACCAAAGGAAAAGCATTTGTCATGTGACTCGATTCATGTCCCACCTCCACTTGGTACTGTGACCTAGTGCTGGTTACTGAATCTCTCTAGGCCTTAGATTCCTTGTTTGTAAGATGTGGATAGTACCTACTTAAGACAAACCATATAAAGAACCACTCAAAAGTGACTTTCAAACTTTAAAGCACTATACAAATAGAAGTCTTACTACAAATTCAGATGTCTTTACAATTTCACTTGTGGGTTATCACTATAACAATTAGCTATTATCAATAATTTTTTATTTATTATTATATTGATCACGTTAGCAGTGTTAATACAGATAGTCTGGCATGGACATCTATTTCATACAATGTGCTTGGAACTAAGGATGGAGAAGAATCTGACACAGGAATGCTTTGGAACTGTTCATTTTAGCAAAGAATTCAAATTAATGTCTGCCATAGAATCCTCTTCCTATGAAATGCTCCCTGCTCTTTTACTGAGAAAGAGTACAGTGAGGAATAACAATAAAGTCTGACCTGGCTTTGGGGGTGGGGGGAGCTTATATAAGGACACTCAGTAGCAAAACATGGACCAAGCTCCAGATCTCCTAAATTCCAGCTCACGACTGTTTGTGCCGCCCACAGATACCTCTGTAGTTGGAGGGGTTTTCTTTGTCTCAGTTCTCCTTCATCTCCACAACGCTCATCTAAGGTTGAAGTTTGGCTTCAGTGGGAAGAAAACAAAAATAGCCAAGAATGCTCTCTGATTGTCAGGTCCTAACCAACCGCATGGCTCTAACCCAACATTTCCCAAAGGCTGGATTTCCAAAGCGCAGATGGTGCCTTGGCATCTGACCCTACAGTGACAGGGCCCCACTTTCCTGTGGGATGGAGTGGCTTTCCTGTCTTCCAACCTCGCTCACCTGCACGGGACCCAGGCTCCTCGGTGGCTCTCGAGGCTGAGCTGGGCTCGAGGGGCTCTTCCACGGGGCACAGGGCAGGCCCTCCGGTCTGGACACCGAAGCCCGGGAGAATGGCTGGCACCAGGGGTGGGGAGACGGTGAAGGAGAAGGAGAAAGTGAGAACCTGGAGACAACCCCGAGAAGCGAAGAGCGAGGTGCTGGCCGAAAGAGGACACCGGAGACACACACACACAGACAGACCCGGGACGGAAAGACGCTCCGGGGAGCTAGCAGCCGCAGTCCCCAGCCAGCCTGCTGGCGGTTGGACTGGCAGTTGGCATCAGCCCCCGCGGGGCGGCCCCAGCCTCGGCCACGCCCCTCTTCTCCACCCCCTCACCGCGCAGTCTCGGTCGTCCCTCCTCCTTTCAGTCCCGCATTCCCACGCTGGTGTCTATTGGTTGGACTTTTGGGAAGTCTCACCGCTTAAAACTTCCCTGGACAGCCTGAAAGTGGAGCAAAGGTTCCAGGCTTCAGCAACAAAGACGGGGGACCAAAGCGTAGGGCACTCCTTGCAAAAAATACATGTAAAAAGATACAATAATACAATATATACATGTCTGTATAAATACATTTGCATACTTGCATTTGACATGGAACATTAAGTTCATTCTCTTGTTTCAGTCATGGAAACTAAGGACACCCTCCCCTAAGATGAAAAAGACCTCTCCAAGGTCAGTTTTAGTTGGAGCCAAGTAAAACATAATGGCAAATGCTAAAAAAGGGATAGACTGCTAACTTAGAGGATGTCAGAATTTTAAACTTCTGTAAGTTTGAATTCATGATGCAGAGAAAATACAGGACGTGCCTGGAATTTCCTCTGGTGCCATAAAGAACTCACAAAAGGGTGGGGTTTTGTCAAAAGAACACAAAAGCCAATCTGATGTGTTTTTCTTTTAAAGGGGGTGGGGTGGGGGGCACTAGAATCAGAGACCAACCCAGTCAGTACCATTGAGCTCCAAAATACTATTTCCACATAAAAGGAACTGGGATTCCATTGGGAGAAATGGCTGGTTCAGATTTGGGAAAGAAAATGCACTAGATTAACCTACCTTTTGTCTTGCCAGAAAGCAAAGAAGCCATAAACTGCTACTGAGATCATTTCACAAGAGTCAACCTGAAAGTGATCCCACTGGCTAAATACTGAAAAAATTGAGCATCTAAAAGGATGACTGGATAATATTAAATGTTAAATTTCATGAGTTCATCTTGACATGGAGAATAAAGTCTCTGGTCACCTCAAAGGTTGCTAAGGAAAGAATCGAGCGTTTATTCCAAGCCCTTTCTTATACAAACCATATTTCAGTTGATGGGGAAATTTTTTTATAAAACAAACAACTGATGAGTGCCAAAAGAATGATAGAACGCCTTCACTTTGCAGCCTCTAATGAAATAATGAATCTAGACAATAATTATCAGTGGATGTTAACACCATTAGATGAAAAGTTTGGTACAAAATTTTATAATATATCAGGTCAAAAACACCAGAACACATTGAATAATTATAACATCACAATGAAAGGCAAGAAGATATTATATGACAGTAAAAACTACACAACCTCCTCTGAAATCTTCTTGCCAAAAAAAATCAATGAATTGGGTGAAAAACAAATGACGCCATCCTGATGCAAGTAATCAGATCTACCACCTGGTAATTTCTACAGGAAAAATGACATTGTTTCTCAACAAATGACAAGGGAAAAAGGAGGGGACTGTTATAGATTAAAATTTAGGGGCTGGGATGTGGCTCAAGCGGTAGCGCGCTCGCCTGACATGCGTGCGGCCCGGGTTCGATCCTCAGCACCACATAAAAACAAAGATGTTGTGTCCGCCGATAACTAAAAAAAAATAAAATATTAACATTCTCTCTCTGTCTCTCCCTCTCTCACTCTCTCTCTCTTTAAAAAAAAAAAAGATTAAAATTTAAAATGTTATGATTTAGATATGAGGTGTCCTCCAAAAGCTCACATATGATATGATGCTAGAATTTTCAGAGGTAAAAATGATTGGGTTATGAGAATCTTAACATAGTGGATTAATCCACTGATATAGATTAACTGGGCAGTTAACTGTAAGCAAGTAGGATGTGGCTGAAGAGGAAGGTCACTGGGGGTGTAACTTTAGGGTTTATATTTGGTCCCTGGTGAACAGAGCTCTCTCTCTGCTCCTGGTTGCCATGTCCAGACCTGCTTTCCTCTACCATACCTTCCTGTCATGATGTTCTGTCTCACTTTGGGCCCAGAGCTATGGAATCAGCCAACCATGGATTAAACCTCTGAAACTGTGAGTCAAAATAAACTTTTTCTTTTCTATGTTGTTCTTTTCAGTTTTTTGTTTGTTTGTTTTGTTTTGTTTTGTTTTTGTTCACAGCAATGAAAAATTGACTAAAATAGAAACCAACTAAAAGAAAAACTGAACCTTGTTTGGATCCTAATTTGAATAAATCAACTCTAAAAAGACATTTGAAACAATTGAGACAATTTTACCATTGACCAGACTTTAGGATATATTCAGGAATTGCTAATATTTTTAGGAGTAATAATGGTAACATAGTGATGTTTTAAGAAAATCTTCCCAAGTACCAACAAGTCCCCAGTTTCCAGATCTTAATTTCTAACATTGTTCTTTTTAAAAAGGAACCAGGTTCCCTTGGGGAAATAATTGATTCCCAAGCTGGAACAGGGAAAAAGACTAGGTGTGGAACATTACATGGTTCAATAAAGTATGAAAGAACTCAAAAAGGACATGACTTTCTCACACAGGAGCCAACTCAAAGGATCTCCTAATGGCCAAAGCTAGAACCAGTTAGGTGAGAAAATATTGGTAGTATTAGAATATAACCCATAGACTAAAATAAAAGCTGAGTCTATAACAATATGAATAATAGAATAAATAAATTTGGGAGAAAGCTTTGCTCTTTCTTATAGAATTTCAAATAATAAAAATAGAAAATTATCATTAGGTTCCCTCTAAAGGCTTACAAGAAGACTTTATTTGCCCTAACAAGATGACACAGAAAATATAATTGCATTTATAAAATACCAAAATAACTCAGACATTTTTCAGTGCTTCATTCTGAGTCTGAGGCTCTGCCACCAGGATGGGTTGATTCTACTTTCCTTTGTGTGATGGACGTGGGGACACACTTCCCAAATCCTTCCTCAATGAAGGTCTGTGGCCACCACACCTGAGATATGCTGTTAGGAGTGTTGACATGCTGTTAGGAGTGTTGTCAGAATCGTCAGCTGTCACATCTTCCAGGGATCTGCTTACAGCTGCTTCATCCAAGGTCACGTCCTTTTCCAGGTGGGCCCACACCCAATATTGCATAATCAACTCTGGGGCATGAAGGTCTGGTTTTTCTGGCCCAAGTTAGCTCCAGAGCAACCCATGAAGTCAGTTAAGATTGTCATTGGGGCCAGGTGTGGTGGTACATGCCTGTAATTACAGCCCCTCAGAAGGCTGAGGCAGGAGGATTGCAAGTTTGAGACTAGCCTGTGCAACTTAGCAAGACCCTGTCTCAAAAACAAAATTAAGGGGCTGGGGTTGTGGCTCAGTGTAGAGTTCTTGCCTAGTACCTGTGAGGCACTGGGTTTGATCCTCAGCACCACATAAAAAAAATAACTAAAGTTTAAAAATAAAAGAGGAACTCTGGGGAATTTAAAAAATTTAGGTTAAATAAAAAGGAATGGGAGTGTATCTCAGTGGTACAGCACCCCTGGATTCAATCCCCACCACAACACACACACACACACACACAAATTGTCATTAGGCCAGCACATCTCAATTCCCTCTGTCCCTCTACTACCTTGCTTGCCTGTCCCTCACTTCCACAAATGATATCCTGGCCCACTACCACCAATGAATGGGTACGTAATAAAATGTCCAAATCTTTCCTGCTGAGTCCTCCAAGTTCTTTCTTTGGAATTGAAAAGCAATACACTGGGACATTTGCAGTCCTGGGATTGAAAAATTGGCATAATGGGCAGGATTCCAAAGAGAAACTTGTCAAGTTGACTTCAGAGTTGTGAAAGCGCATGGAGTCTGCGAGGGAACTCCGGGATCCACTTAGGCTCAGCTCCAGGGAGTATAGGAAGAGTTAGGAACTAGAAAAAGGCTCATTTTGAACAGGTTGACGGCAAGGATGTGCTGTCAAGGCATTTAGAACAGACAACTGTCTACAGGTCATGGCTTGCCATTAGGCTAAACTGAGTGAAATCACAGGCCCAGAGTCCAGGGAAGGGCATTGGTGACTAGTGAAAACTGGGACCTTCAGTGGAACCCACTCAGGGAATCCAGTATTGCCAGTCATTCAGAAGTGGCAGTAGAGGACAAAACAATAGTGGAAGCTAGACCTGTAATGGTTCAAAAGTTAAAGACCCAGCAGAAGCAGGCTGAGGTTTGAATTCAGATCTGCTCCTTGCTCCACAGAGAGATTTACATTACCCCATGAGACCATATACTCCTGCAGAGCTGGTAGAACTGGGGTCCAAGTTTAGGCAAAAAATGAAAGGAAGTGTACCTGCATGGCTGCTCCACCTGTGGAACACTGGAGCAGATGGCATATGTTGAATGGTACAGAATTGTCTAAGATGGCTTCAGTAACTGCTCACTCTGCTTTATGTCAGTGGCACATCAGGGACGCTGATTGAAGAGTAGGGGTCATTACTAGCTTAGCTTCTTCTTGCCACTCACAATATGTGGCCAAATTCAGGAGCTATTTCTATGCTTTATGGGCCTCAATGGAAGAATCACAGAGCTATTTGTGAGAACTGGGAATGAAATATGCTATTTATGTGCAGCCTTTCCCAGGACCAGACAGTGTGGCTTTTACTTCCAGAATGAAGGATGCAGTGTCACATGCAGCCCTGCCATCCAGTTATGGTGCCCTCATGTCAATACTATCTATCCCTGTTAGTAGGGCAGCCCTCCAGCAAGTAGCATGTGATAAAGCAGATCTAGGAAAGACAGAAAGATTGTGACAGAAAGTAGGAGTCCATAAAACCCAGCCAAAATTGGCACCTCACGGAGTCTCCAATAGACAGATGTAGGTAGAATTACTATCAGCAGGAGTAGATGAAAGGAAAATAGACAACCTAATCCCACCCTGGTACAGTTGTGAAAACAATTGCCAAAGGACAAGGTTCCAGCCTTTACCTCTCAATAAGGAGACACAAGGGGAGGCAATCA